TAAAACATGTCCAGTAAAAAAAAAATGCAAAAATCTAATTTAGTCATACTTTTCTGCCAAAATGCATTCTGCGACATGTCTTTGCTAAAAAAAAAAACCCAATACATGTAAAATAATTGGTTTACGTGAAAGTTATAGCGTTTACAAATGGCGGGAAAGATACTGGGATTTTTAGTTTTTTTTTTATACTAATAATGGCGGCGATCAGCGAATTATGGTGGCGATCAGCGACTTATGGCAGCGACCAGCGACTTATGGCGGGACTGCGGGACTGCGGCGGACATTCTGACATTGGGGGGTACTGACTTGGGGTCACTGACATCCCCAAAAACACTAATACAGTGATCAGTGCAAAAAAAAAAAAACTGACACTGTACTAATGGCACTGGGGAGGAAGGGGTTAACTTTATTTTGCAGGGAAGGGTTATAGGAGTGAGGGGAGTGTTTTACTAGGGGGCGGGGTGTGTGTGCTGGACAGGACAAGGCTGATCGAGAAAGAGCAACTGTTCTTTCTCGATCAGCTCATCCTCGAGCTGACAGGGAAGTGACAGACAGCACAGCTACTGCAGCTGTGCTCTCTGTCACTGTTTACCGCCGATCGCCGGGACATAGCCACTAAGGAGCGGCTGTGACCCGGCAACTGACATCTGCGGCGGTGATCCGCGGGACAGATAGGGCGGCGGCGCGCCTCGCGCGCGCCCCCTATTTGTTTAAAAAACACCTGTTTTAAAACGTGGTTTTGCCTGCGAGTGCCGCCCTGCCGCCGTATATGTACAGTGGCTGGGCGGCATGTAGTTAACCAGTGGAGGAGGAGTGAGGATTACATTAAATAGACCTTTCACACTGCTCCGGTGCGGTTTGACCACACCGTGGGAGCAGAACAGCTTACCCCGTGGGCTTGGAGCTGTGCTCGCCCATAGAATCGCATTATGTCCCGCGGTTTACATGCAGGAGTTTCGGTGTGTTCTCAGAACGCACCAAGACTCTTAGATTGTAAGCTCCCTGGATCAGGGCCCTCCTAACCCTCTTGTATTGAACTGTATTGTTGCTGTATTGTCTCCCGTTATATTGTAAAGTGCTGAGCAAACTGTTGGTGCTATATAAGTCCTGTATAATAATAAGACTGTGGGGCAGAATGGAACTCTATGCAAAAGTGCAGCTATTCTGCACCAAACCTGCGGGTAAGCTGCGATGATCCTGTGAAGCGGTCAGACCACACTGGAGCAGTGTCAAAGGGCTGCAAATGTAGATCACATATTGCATACCAGTGTATTGTTACTATATCTTTTTTTTTTTTCAATATGACAGTCAATACTAAATCCCGAAACAAATTCCTCCGGCATAAAATTTCACACACTTTTATCTCTAAGGGTTCATGTACACTGCAGCTGATAAACTGACATTCAGGAGCTTTTCTGCGTTTTTTACAGCAGCCCCTGAACTCTCCCTATGTGTCCATGTACACATCGTCCTTTACAGTCATTTACAGGCAGTTGAGTTTACAGTCGTTTTTTTGAACGCACCAAACTTGTGTTTAGGAATAGATTTTATCAGCGTTTCAAACGCGAAACGCTGGTAAACGTGGTTGACTGCGTTTATAAGAGTTTGCATTTAGAAGCGTTTTTTTAACTGTTCCATATCCAGATGCTGTCCAGAGCCTTTTTTAATCATCAGAAATGCATGCAAAGCGTTTTCCATGTATTCAAATGGACCCGGTACACCAGCGCAATCAGTTCCAGGTTTCGCATGAAGGAAAAAATGGGTAGAACGTGCCGCATTATGCTCATAATGGGATCCATAGTGAATACAACCAGAAAATACCCTATAGTGCAAATAAGTAGTAAGGTACAACTTACAGTAGATGCTAAGATCATAGATGGTCTCCTTTATAACTGTAGAGGTCGGCATCTGTGCATTAAAAGTGTAAGTCCCCTCGTCTGTAGAGGTCAGATGATCCAGTATTAGAGTTCCATTGTCATACATCTGACATCTTCCTGCATACTGGGCAGTACATCCAGTAGAGAAACCCGGAATACGGAAGCGAGCGTGTTACCTTTAAAATTCCAGAATAATGCCAGTGTCTGATCTGAGATGGACTCATTCAAGTAAATATATCTGCCAAGTGTTCCATTCACCACCTCAGCAGCAAATACATGACCTGCGGAAACAATATATAATTACATATGTGTGTGAGTAATACAAACAAAGGTTGTGTATAAAGGTCCCAATCCATTTTAGTTTAAAAACCACGCCATGGTCTGAGAAGTGCATCTTGGGAAACTGATGTTGTTAACCCCTTGCCTACCAGGCACTTATACCCCCTTAGTGCCCAGGCCAATTTTCAGCTTGTTGAACTTTGAATGACAATTGCGCAGTCATGCAACACTGTACCCATATGACATTTTTATCATTTTTTTCACACAAATAGAGCTTTCTTTTGGTGGTATTTGCTCACCGCTGGGTGTTTTTTATTTTTTGCAATATAAACAAAAAAACAAGCAAAAAATTGGAAAAAAAAAAAAAGTTTTTCTTTGTTTCTATTATAAAATTTGGCAAACAGGTAATTTTTCTCCTTCAGTGATGTGCATTGATGAGACTGATAGACAGCACTGATGGGCACTAATAGGCAGAACTGATGGGCACTGATAGGCGGCACTTATGATGCTGTACTTATAGGAAGCACTGATGATGCTGCACTGATATGCAGCAATGATGGGCACTGATAGGCGGCACTGATGATGCTGCACTGATGATGCTGCGCACTGATAGGCAGCAATGATGGGCACTGATAGGCAGCACTGATGATGCTGCACTGATATGCAGCAATGATGGGCACTGATAGGCGGCTCTGCTGGACACAATTGGGTGGAACTTCTAGGCACTGCTGAGCACAGGTGGATGGCACTGCTGGGTGGCACTGGTGGACAGCACTGCTGGGCACTGATCATCAGTGCCCTGATGATCAGTGCCGATCTGTTCTCTGACAATTGCCGGTTATCAGCAGTACTCTCCTTACTCAGCCGATAAAAGGCAACTGTATTTACCTGTTGATCTGCTATGTCATTGGACACAGCTGATCACATGGTAAAAGGCCGCTGTGATTGGCCTTTTACCACATCACGTGATCAGCTGTGTCCATAGGACACAGCGATCACGGACATCACCACGGGTGCGCGTCGCTGGGGGTGCATGGGAGGGCGCGTTCTGGGAGGACGTCATATGACGCCCTCCAAGGACTGGACAACCACTGTAGCCATGTGGTTAATGTGCCTTAGGCAGGATGAGGCATCCCTTCCGTTGTGATGCCCTTTCCCAGTGATTTTTAGGAATTTTATGATTATGTGTAATGGGAAATATGGATATAAAGCCCAAATAAACTTCACAAAGTGCTCAGATAATAAAATCATGTCCATATACACAAAGTCTGTATTCTCTGAACCTCCTAATAACTTCAAGATGCAGAAATGAACTTATTGTTTCTTTACAGTGCAGATAATGTTCCATGCAAAAGAAATCAATCCACCTCGTGAATTTTCTTTAAAGTGGAACTAAACCCTCCTATCCTTTTCAGCCATGGAAGCTGCCATCTTAGCCTCTGTTTGATCTGCAACTGCCATGATGCTGCACATGTGACCAGTTATGACACCGGCCATCTGATGGTTTGATAGATTGGTTGCTAACACAAGCAAATGCGAAAATTAGCATCCCGGCATGCTGGGAATGCAACTTTTTTTTTTTTTAAACCGTCAAACTGATGGACTTAGTTCCACTTTAAGTGCAAGATGACTGCTTTTAATCAATTGTGATCCCTTCACCAGACACAAGGAGTTTGTGTCTTTGTTTTTCTCAAGGAAGGCATGGAAGCTCAAGTAACAATGTGGAGTAATTCTCCACTGCCTGTGTGGGCTGCCATCCAGGGCTTCCAGGGAGGATGTATCAATACCAACAGCACTGTCTCACATCCAAATAAAATGAGTGGCCATTCCGTGTGCTGCCACTCAAAATAACTTCACTCACGCTGCCTAGGCTCCACCCCAATGCGTTTCGTCACTATAGTGACATTATCAACAGGATGTGAGATGGTGCTGTTGGTATTGACACTGCTGGACTGCTGCACTAAGTAAATCTGCTCAAACCGCCTAGGTTTCGCCCCAGAATGTTTTGTTGCTATGGCGACAGTTTCAAGAGGATGTGACAGGGAGCTGTTGTTACCATTTGCTGTTTTATTGGACTGATAGTGTTTCTTTGCCTTTTACCTTTTAACAAATGTGAGTATATATGTTTGGCACAAGAAACTGTCAGAAGTGGCGGGTGTCACATTAATAGAGCAGATAGACCTGTTTCAAGGGAATACGGCAGTTTTCATTTAGAAAACTGCCACAGATTCCTACCTGGTATGCAGTCGTGTATTTAGGCTTCGCGCTGCCCTAGGCAAAACAAAAATTGGTTCCCCCACGGACATTGACCAACAACCCCCACCCGAAAGAACCTTCCACTACCACTGAGCAACCCCCCACCCCACCCTGGCAAGAGATAAGACATTCACCTTCACAGCTCTGGGCATCCCCAGGAACAAGAGTCAGGCTCTGCATATACCATCAAGCAGCCTGCAGGCTCTCCCAGATCCCACCTTGTCCCCATGCTGCGTGTGTCCCTTCTTCCATCCCTTCTTTCAGGGGACAGCACTGCCCCCCTGAAAAATGCTGCTGCCCCCCTGAAAAATGCTGCCCTAGGCAAATGCCTTGTTTGCCTTGTGATAAATACGCCCCTGCTGGAATGCCATTATTGTATGGGATGCGAGCTTTCAGCAGACAGCTCACCTCCCTCCCTCTGCCTTTGCAGTAATGACCCTATATGAGCAGAGCCTGCACAGGGTTAAGAACCCTCCTTCTCCCTCCACGCAGGGCAGGTGACAGGGATGTGCAGAGAGATCAGAGCATGCAGCTCCAGCTCTCCGTTTTCTGTCCTGTGTGCTGTGTGCAGGGGCGGACTGACAACTCATGGGGCCCCAGGGCAATAGGGGATCATGGGGCCCCTGTGTCCTTGCCCAAACTCAAAAAAGCCTATGAAAAAGGTACCAGGGGCATCTCATGGGGCCCCCTACTGACCCCGGGCCCTCGGGCAGTAATCGAGTTTCCAAATGGTCAGTCCGCCCCTGGCTGTGTGTGTCAGAGAACTGATTGCTCCTATAAATGAATGCACTGCTCCAGGTAGGTCCACAATGCCCACTAAGGCAATCCTGGTGCCAGGTGCAAGCCCAGCTCCCAACCGAAAAGTACTGTAATGCAAATAGGATGGCCACACTCCATGATCGGAATGTCTAAAATAGCAATAGCTTTACCATTGACTGAAATCCAACCGGTACAGTTGATGGTGTTGCTATATTGGATGGTATGATCCATTATGGTTATATGACATGCTTATATGTATATATCTGTTATAGAGCAAGATTTACTGCAATTGACCAGTTGCCAATCACTGTATGAGCTCCAGTGCCCACCCAAGGGGACTACCCATGTTGTGAATACAGGCTCAATTAAGGTGGAGCTATAATTATATATATGTTGACATATTATTGTCTAATTTGAGTGCTATATGTATAAAGATATGCCTCGGATATGTATGATATTTGCTGTTTATATCAAACACTATTTTGTTCTTTATCCACTTCCCTTCCACCCTATAGCAGAAATACTGCTACAGGGTGGCATGGGTGCACAAAATCACGTATGTGATTTCACTTTTCCGGGTAGGGGGGGCGCACAAGGCGCACGCACGTCCTACCTGTGCCGCCATTTGCCGGCGCCTGGTGATTACCGAGGATGTCCGACGGGGAGGAGAACTGTCTTGTTTACTAACAGTTCTCCTCCCAGTAAGCTCGGGTGCAATGCTTTGTATGGCTGTGCTGTGCAGTGGAGCACATGGACACAGCCCCCTAGTAAAACACACCCAGCACACAGTTAACCCCTTGATCGCCCTCATGTTAACCCCTTCCTGTCCAGTGCCATTAGTACAGTGTCAGTGCTTTTTTTTTGGCACTGATCACTGTATTGGTGTCACTGCGGATGTCAGTGACACCAAGTCAGTTCCCCCTCAGTGTCAGAATGTCCGCTGCAGTTCCGCTATAAGTTGCTGATCACTGCCATCACTAGTAAAAAAAAATAAAATCATAGTATCTACACCGCCATTTGTAAACCAATTAATTTACACGTATTGGGATTTTTTTTAACAAAGACATGTAGCAGAATACTTTTTGGCCTACATTTATGACGAAATTTTATTTTTAACATTTTTTAACTGGACATGTTTAATAGCAAAATGTCAAAAATATTGTTTTTTATAGCGCAAAAAAAAAAAATTGCACAGGCATAGAAATATTTGTCAGTAAGCCTGAACCATCCTAGGACAGCTTGCTTCATTTTGTCATGTGCAATTTCACGACAGGCTATGCGCCGATTATCCAGGATCAGGCATTCCACATGCGCTGAATGTTCACAGGAATGACTGCTATGGGCTGACAGACGTACGTCCATCTTTGAAACATTTACACCATTCAAATGTCTTACTGCGGCTGAGCGTCTCATCACCGTACTGTGCTTGGAGTCTTCTGTAGATATCCGCTGGTTTTACGCCTTCGTTCACAAGACATTTCATCCCCACACGCTGTTCCATGCATGTACTAACACTGTTATCTGCCATCTTGATTAATGGGCTCTGGATGGGCCGCCTATCAGTAATAGAACACACTTGCCACTTACTACTGCGTGTAGTACCGCGCCACTTTAGCATCCCTTTTTATACCTGTAAAATGAAAAGTCCCGGTTTGACTTGAACACCCCTTGTATATATTAATATATATCCTTATATGAAGACATCAAACCAGGTTGCCACATAGAAATGGGATTCAAGTAGAAAAGTACTCTTCATGTAATCCATTACATATAAGAAGGATGTCAAAATAAAAGCAAACAGATAAAGAACTTCATATACCTGTAACTCTGTAAAATATAACTATTTGTCTCCATAATACAAAGGCTGTGATATCAGCAAATCACTGGGAGAGTCAGGTATGATGACAGAACAATTTAGGGCATGAGGGTCCAGAGGAGGATAAATATTGATACCACTTAATCTCATCAAAGATAGTCCCAGATGTCATCTTTAACTATGTAGCTCATATAGTGGTTCCATTCAAACCTTCCTCATACCAATGTGATTAAATGTTTTAATATAGTGCTCTGTAGTATAAGAGGTCTTTGTAGAGGAGATCAAGTAGATGCAGAAGAATTCAAGCCCACATGAACATCCAGAAATGCACTATAGCCACAAAAAGCCTAGAGCTGCAGTTACAGCAAACAGGTTTTTTTTCCCTTTGGGATGAAGGTTTTACATAAACAATTAAAAGCTGATCATTAAGGGCACCCCTTCCAGTATTTAATGGTTTGCCGTATATTTTGTGTTTGTCATAGTAGGTGTTATGTATCGCCTGTCCACGTTCTTAAAACGCTCTGACAAATCACACCACGCTTGTTCAAGTGCCATTAATTTTCAATGGCACCTAAACGTGGGTGCGATTCTGCAGCGATTGTCACGTGTTAAATCACAACAAACCACATTGCGTGAATCTTGTCACCCTGAAAGGAGTTTCTTTAGGGGTGACAAGCTTTGCGCAATTTGGTTTAAACAATTGCATCATGATTTATGCTCAACAGTTGCGGCAGAATCGCACTGCATTTTAGGTGCCATTGAAAATGAATGCCACCTGAAAAAGCGTGGTGCGGTTTTAGAGTTGCCACCTCATCCCTTTAAAACACACTTGACGCCCATAGAAATGAGGGTGGACTGGGGGTTTCCAAACTTAACCACTTCACGCCGGCACCTATTGGCCCTTTAAGATTTTCAGAAGCCAGGAGGCGTACAGGGTTTTAGGGTCATGTTACCACCATAATATCTCATAATATCTCATAATAACTCATCAAGGCCCTCTCCTCCAATCCTCGCCGACTCTTCTCCACCTTCAACTCTCTACTCTCTCCACCCCCACCTCCACCCAGCACCTCACTCACTGCCCTTGAGATTGCCAATCACTTCAAAAACAAGATTGACACAATTCGCAAGGACATTGCCGCAACTCACACGCCCTCTCAACCCTTTCCCTTATCCCCCCTCCCCCTCGACATAACCCGCAGGGACTTCGGCGCTGCTCAAACTCTCTCCAACCCCCTTCACCCTCACTCAGCTATCCCCTCATCACCCCTCTCCCACAGCCCCACCACTGCTCTGACCTCCTCTTCCCCACCCTACATTCCTCATACTGAAGCTCCCCCAACACTCCGCACCTTTGACCTTACTACCATCGAGGAAGTCTCCAAGATCCTCTTTGATGCCCGCCTCACCACCTGCTCCCTCGACCCTATCCCCCCTCACAACTCCTACGACCTCCTTCCCCCTCCATCCTATGCTCCCTCACCCACATCTTCAATCTCTCCCTATCCTCCGGCACTTTCCCCTCCCCTCTGAAACATGCACACATCACCCCCATACTTAAAAAGCCCTCCCTGGACCCCAATGACCCGAACAACCTCAGACCCATCTCCCTGCTCCCATTTACATCTAAACTCCTCGAGCGCCTAGTCTACACCCGCCTATGCTCTCACCTCTACGACAACAACTTCCTTGATCCCCTACAGTCTGGCTTCCGTCCCCTACACTCCACCGAAACTGCCTTACTCAAACTCTCCAACGACTTGCTAACCGCCAAAGCTAATGGCCACTATTCAGTGCTCCTACTCCTTGACCTCTCTGCGGCCTTCGACACAGTCGACCACCCCCTCCTCCTCAAAAAACTACACTCCCTCGGCCTCAGAGATTCTGCTCTCTCCTGGCTCTCATCCTACCTGTCACAACGCTCCTTCAGCGTTACCTATAATGCTACCACCTCCCCCACACTCCCCCTCTCTGTTTGGGTCCCTCAAGGCTCTGTCCTCGGCCCCTTCTCTTCTCCATCTATACCTCCTCCCTTGGCCAACTCATACACTCTCACGGCTTCAACTACCACCTATATGCCGACGACACACAAATCTATCTTTCAACCCCCCACCTCGACCCCTTGGTCTCAGCCCGAATCACACACTTACTGAGCGACATATCAGACTGGATGTCACTCCACTTCCTTAAATTGAACCTCTCCAAAATCGAGTTTCTTGTCTTCCCCCCAGCCCGGACACCACCCCCCATTGACTTCTCCGTCACATCCAACAACGCTACCATTAAACCTGCCTACCATTAAACCTGCCCTGCAGGCCAGAGTACTTGGTGTCATTCTGGACTCCAACCTGTCCTTTCAACCCCAAGTCCAATCTTTAACAAACTTGTGCAGACTCCACCTCCGCAACATCGCCAAAATACGCATGTTCCTAACCCCAGAAACCACTAAACAGCTCATCCACTCCCTCATCATATCACGACTCGACTACTGCAACTCCCTCCTCACTGGCCTGCCTCGCCGCTGGCTATCCCAGCTTCAGTTGATCCTGAATACGGCTGCCAGACTCATTCACCTTTCCAACCGCTCTGTCTCCACCACCCCCCTCTGCCAATCCCTCCACTGGCTTCCGATTGCGCAACGGATCAAATTCAAAATCCTAACGCTGACGTACAAAGCTGTCCACCATACTGCCCCGAACTACATCACTGACCTAATATCCAAGTACCGCCCAGCACGCACACTCCGCTCCTCACAAGACCTCCTTCTCTCTAGTTCCCTGGTCTCCTCCTCCCATGCCCACCTCCAGGACTTCTCCAGGGTGTCACCCATCCTCTGAAACTCCCTGCCCCAACCCATCAGATTATCACCTACTCTCCTCTCCTTTAGGAGCACCCTGAAAACCCATCTCTTCAGGGAAGCCTACCCCACCCCCTGCTAACTTGCCGACCTCCTCCACTCTTCCTACCACTCCATCCCCCACAGCTATCTCCTCCTGTGCCACCATCCCCTCCCTCCTAGATTGTAAGCTCGAAAGAGCAGGGCCCTCGATCCCCTCATGTTTTGCATTGTATTGGTATTGTTCTGTCACATGTTCTGTCCCCCTTTGTAATGTACAGCGCTGAGCGAACTATTGGCGCTTTATAAATACTGTATAATAATAATAATAATAATAATTCGCCATCGCGATGATCACATGAT